AAACATTCTTGTGTGGCTGCAAATAGGCATCCAAATACACTCCAGCCACGTTAGGGCTGTGTTGGGCAGAGCCCCCTCAGGCTGGGGAAACTCCTGCCTTCAGAGGAAAGCTTCTGTCTCAGTGAGCCCTGCCCAGGAGGTACCTCCTGAAGCAGGTGTGGGCACAGAGCTGAGGCTGAGTCTGGGGCTGGGACTTGGCCTGGGCTCAGCTGCAGAAGGGCCGGGGCTGGTCCCCACGGCAGGCTCTGGCTTGGGGGCCACTCTCTGTTCCCTCTCATCACTGCTGCAGTTGGGTGCTGTGGGTGGGGGGCTCTGCTGGGCTGCTCTTGCCCTGCATGTATCCCTTTATCTCATGACCCCTCAGGAGCCCTTCAGCAGCCACTCCACAGGAGCTCCTTGCTGTGATGACCCACAGGAGCCCTACACTGTGCCACCCCTCAGGAGCCCTTCACCTTGTCGACCTTCTGGAGCCTTCGCTGTGCTGTCCTACAAAAGCCTTTAACTGAGCTGTCCTGCAGGAACCCTTCACTATGAGGCACAGCTCTTTTTGGAATCTTGGATTATCTTGGATTCCTTCACCACGCTACCCAACTCTGAGTCATTTCTCACAGCCTCCTGAAGGAGTCCTTCACTGCCTTTCTTTAGCACATTGCTCACCGACTTTCAGTTTCTTCCTCACCTGGTATTTTTTGGAGTGCATCACTATGCAGCCCTGGAGAAGTCCTTCAGACCTGTTTGGGTTTTTTTAAGCACTTCCCCATTCAGCTTTTTCAGAGGTTTCCACCTCTTTTTGAGGTGTTTTACCCCATGGCTTTTCTCTTGATTTCTACAGTGCCTGGTGTATGTTGGAGCACTTTACAGAGCCATCCCAGAGCAGTGCTTTACCCTTGGCTTTTTCAGAGTGCTGCACACTCAGGTTTTATTGCTATGCCTCAACCCACTTCCTGTGATGATTTCCATGTGTTACCTTCCACATTTTTTCTTCTGGAACCAGCAGATGAGCAGGGAGAGGAGTTTCCATGGGGGTTTGATACCCCTTTTCAGCTTGGGGATGCCTTTTTCTAGGGAATGCTGCCACCTTAGTGTCTTCTGTCATTTTTACCCAGTCTTAGTTTTGAGGAAGGTGACTTTGAGCAACTTTGTGCTGAGTGATGTTTCTTACTATCCATAATTATTTGGTGCTTTTATATCAGGATTTGTCCTGTGTTCTTTTGTTCTGGATGGTATTATGAAGGTCAGTTTGGAAGCTGCAAGGATCTCTGCCTTATCAGTGGTTTTGAGGAGCAGCTGAGGGAATTTGAGGTTGTTTAGCCTGTAGATGATGAGGCTCAGAGGTGACCTTATGGCTGTCTACAGCCATCTGAAAGGAGGTTATAGCTGGGTGGGGGTTGGTCTCTTCTCTCAGGCAACTAGTGACAGGATTAGGGGGTGTAGTCCCAAGCTGTGCCAGGGGAGGTTCAGGTTGGACATAAGGAGGAATTTGATCACAGAAAGGATGATTAAACATTGCAATAGAGGGAGTCACCATCACTGGAGGTGTTTAAGAAATGACTGGACATAGCACTTAGTGCTGTGGTCTAGTTGACATGATGGTGTTTGGTCAAAGGTTGGACTTGATGATCTGAAAGGTCTTTTTTAGCCTCATTGATTTTGTGATTTGGGGCTTTTCCTGACAACACATGTTAGGGCAGTCTGTAGAACAGGATCCTGACAGAGTATGTGAGAGAACAGGATCTCGGTGAGCCTGAATCACAGCCCTGCTGACACAAGGAGTGAGGGAGAATGCAGACACCACAAGCACTGGTTAGGTGCCTGAGTGACAAAAGCTGAAGCATGTGTTGCCACTTGTTGGAGGTGTGGGAATGCTGTGAACATCTGCATGGCCCTGTTCCCAAGGTGGCTGGTGCAGCTCCAGTGACGCTGTGCTGCAGATGCAGCAGCTGGAGGGTGCTGTTGCCATAGGAAAGGCTGCCAGGCTCCAAGAATTAAGAGCAAGAGAAGTGAGGCTGTCATCAGGGACATTTCCTATGCTGGCTATTGTGACCTACCCTGGCCTGGGGTATTGCAGGTCATCCCCCTTTGTCAGAGGGGCAATTGCTTTAATGACATACAGCTTTTGTTTTCTCAGTGCTGACAATAACTGCTTTTTCTGTTTGGAATCCTCTCTTAGCTGTTCAGAGTCACCATTTTAGCTTCCAGTTACATCTGGGGTTTTGTTTTTCAGAGGGCCAATGTGAAGGAGTAGAGACTGGATTTGACCCTTAGTTATCCATGGGGGAGCTGCTGTAGAAAGAAGTCTATGGTTTTGGAGCTGTGCCACCAGAGGACAGATGAGCAGGAATCTGGTAGCACCACATTTTTGCTTTTGGCAATAAAATTTGAGCTATCCACAACCAAGGCTTGGTGGCATCTGGTTGATTCACTGCATGGTTATCTAAACCCTGCTAAGGGCTCTCAGGAGGATGCCTCACCTCCTCATCCTGGATGCATCCCACAGTTCTGCATGATGAAGCCCTTTTTGCAGCTGTGCCCCTGGAGCTAACAGTGGGCAGCTGGCAGCCATGGAGGTCTCGCTGCAGTTTTTCCTGCCTTCCAGTGAGCAAGAGTTGTGCTGGGAAAGTCTCCTTTGCCTCCATGACAGGTGCTGCCTTCCTCCCAGCTTGTGCATACCATTCCCTGTTTAAGCATGACTCTTGCAAGCAGAGGTCCAGGTAGGTGCAGTCCATATTCAGTTCCCTCTCTAAATGTCCTTCAGAGTAGGTGAGAGTGTTTCTGCAGGGTGGGGCTGGACAGGAGGCATCAGGGCATCCCACACCTGACAGGCAGTGGAGGAGCTCTTGTTGGCACCCATGCTCCTTTAGCCTGAGTTGTGTGGGTACAGAAAAGCCTTTCTGTTCCCTTCTTCCCTGCATGGCTCACCTAAGCTCCAGCAGGTGTGGGGCCTGGCCCCCTCCCTTGTCCGTTCTGCCTGTAGCGTGGCCTCCCTGCTCCCTGTTGCCTTGGGGTCACAGCCTGTACCTGCTGCCTGTATACTGTGGAAGTTTGCACAGGAGTTTTGAAGTGACTTTCTGTCCTCATGCAAACATTGTCTGTGAAAGTGAAACTTGTTTTGTGCTGTTTGGAGTTGGTGCAGACCACGAGTGATGTGACTGCTTGATGCTCTGATTGGGGCCCATCGCCCTTCCTCTGTGGGAATTCTTTCTGACAAGGCTGCTCACAAGAAACGAGAGCAAAGCACACACAGCTTATTCTCCTGCCCTATCCAGAGGTTCAGGCTGAAACACTGCATTGCTGCTGGGAAGACCTCAAAATGTCAAAAATACAGCAACGCTGTGGACCCCCAAGCCTAAACACACAGGAGGGGCTGTGGCAGCTGCTGCTTTGCAGGGACAGAGATGAGAACAATTCGCAGTCCGGACCAGAAATGCTCTCAGAGCTCTCAAAGTGATTTCCAGAGTTTTAAAGCAATTAGTTCCCTCAGCTGTTGCTTTGTCCTTTATTGCTCCGTGGGGGTTGATGGCTTGTTTAATAACTCAGCCTGAGGTGGATTTCCAGGTATGGAAAACTGTCAGTTGTTCAGCTTTGTTGTACCAAAATTAGTCCAGAGAAAATAGGTAGAAGGAGTATCAGGACACTCAACAGGTAGTATTAGTAGTACAACTAGTGCAGATTTCAGGAGAAAAGTATGGGAACTTAGTCTCAGAAAGAACCAAGAGATTTCAGGAGAGATTAGTTGACTAAGCCTTTTGATAGTGAAATACTGCAAGTCTCTGGTCCTTCAAATCTCTTTGGCAGGCTGGGAAACAAATGGATTTAGTAATTCTGTTCAAAACTGTCATTTTGAAGCATGATTTCAGTAATTGTTTTGCCTCACAGAGCAAATGGTGAGATCCTCTCCAACATGTATTGTTTTAAGAGCAGCTAATGATGAGAGGATTTGAGCACTTCAATGGATTTGAATATCCTTTTGCCCTTAAATTTAATCAGTCTGTTTTTCTTTAGCAGAAATGGGATCATTTACATTACCCTCTTGGGTAGGAAAGTGATGACTCAGAGAAAAAGCTAAAAAATAATTCAGAATGCTGATATCGAAGCCATGTTTACTGGTTTATTGGCAGGATTTGCTTCTCACTTTAAATTCACGAATGGACAAATTATTTACAAAAGCCACTTACTCCAAAAGTAGGTGCTACCACATACTTTAAAACAGAAAGCATTTTTCATCACGATAGAAAAGATTTGCTTTCAATACACAGAAGTTCCATGATACTTTATGTATAGTTGAAATGAGTAGGATTACTGCTACTGTCACCTGCTTTGTCACGATTATCAGTTAAGAAACACCCAAACTGGAGTCCCACAAAATCAGAACAGTAAAAAGAGCACTGGGGGAGGCAATGCAGAATTCATCTGGAGTAGTTGCCTCATGTTTGAGCAAACAGTAAGCTACTCAACTCAACCAGAGACGGGGTCACTGAAGCCTAGAGCCTGTCTGGCTCCTAGAAAGACAGATCCTCTTGGGATCTCCTTGGTATTTTGGCCCTGTGTGGACTTTTCTATGAAGGAGCACACAGACTTGGTAGGATGTCTGGGCCTGGTTCACCAGGTTGAATTTTTTTTCCCCACTAACATGCTGTGGTTTTGTATGGGCCCCACTGACAAGTTGAAGTTCCATCTGAACATAAGAAAACACTTTTTCATTGTGAGGGCTGTTGAATGTTGGCACAGGTGGTCCAAAGAGGCTGTGGAGTCTCCTTCCCTGAAGTCAAAGCCCAATTGGACACAATCCTGGGCATCCTGTTCTACCTGACTCTGCTTGAGCAGAGTGGTGGAGTGGACAATGTGGAGATGTCATTCCCCACCTCTATGATTTTGTGATTTATTCTGTGATGAGTTCAGCATCTCAAGCCAGCAGATACTGGCCACAGGGTGCCTGGAGGTGAGGGAAGGGAAACAGGTCCCTTCCATATGTATCTGTGCCATTTCTAAATACATAACAGACACTAACACTCTCCATAGAACTACAGAGTGGAATGTGGATAAAATGTTCTTGAACAAGGTATCACAGGAAGAGACTTGAAGATTTCCCTAGGCTGTTAAGCAGATTTTAGTTTTATAGAGTATGTGCCTTTCATAAGAGCATGCTGCACATTGGACAATGGAAAGCTGGTGGTCTGTAGACTTCAAGGAGCTTCAGCATGAGGGCTAAACTGAGAGGTTAGTGAGTGACAGGAAGTCAAATGGGCTTTTCTGCCATCCTTCCTCTAGTGAGCAGAAGGAAAGGACACCAAATAGCTTAAAGGTACAAGTGATAAGATCAGAGGGATTAAGAGACTTCTCTTAAGAAACGAAGAGAGGCATCACTGCTAGGATCAGCACTCAACTCTTCTATTGTTGCAATATGCTCTAATGCATTCATAGATGTTTTTATTCATCTTGAACAATTCTAAAATGAGTGTCTACATGCCAAATTTACAGATGGGTGATCTGAAACATAGCATCAGTTCCAGACAGAAGATTATCCAGCAGTCTAGTGAGAAGAGTTCTGATAGGAATGCAGAGCAGGCTGCCTTTTGAGGGCCCTCATGGTGGGCTATGGTGGGTATTCCCACACAGGGGAGAAGCATCTGAGGGGGCATTATTTCCTCTTTACTCCCTTTGCAAAAGAGGTGAGATTAGAACTGCAGAAAACTTATTTCAGTTTTATGCAGTCTACCTCCTCTGTGACTGGCATTGCACTTGTTCTCAGGTCCAAATCCGTGCTAGATTTGCTTCCTTTATACGTTGATCTCCATCTGAGCAACATGATCTTCTTGAAGTACTTCATGGTGTTATTCTTCACAGTTACAAAACACATGGTGTTTATCATGCTGTTACTCATGGCAATGCACTCAACTATGTAAAAGGCAGTGAGATAATGTTTCTCTTTCACAATGGTGGTGGGAAAGAAGTCCCGGACAATTGTGAAGCCATAGAAAGGTGCCCAGCAGAGAACATAGGCTGTCAGGATGCACATCAGTACCATAACAGTTTTCCTTCTGCATCGAAGCCTCTTTCTGATCTGTTCTGTCTGAAATCCTGGGACGGTTTTAAACCAAAGCTCCCGAGAAATCCTGGCGTAACACAAGGTCATGGTAATCACAGGTGCCACAAATTCAATGCCAAAGATGAAAAGGAAGTATGATTTGTAGTATATCTGCTGGTCAACTGGCCAAATTTGGCCACAGAATATTTTCTCTTGGTTTTTCACTATAAATAATACTGTTTCAGTAGCAAAGTATGCAGATGGGATAGCTACAAGTATGGAGACAATCCAGACCAAGGCAATGAGGAAGGTTGCTGTTTGATAATTCATGCGGGGCTTCAGGGGGTGAACAATGGCCAGATACCTAGAACAGACAAATACATTCAAAATGAAGCCTGAAAACACTGTTAGTCAGAGCATACTTCAAAATGCAAGTGGACAGAATTGGGCAGGAGGAAATTGCTGTCATTCCTTAAGGGAGAGCCTGAACATACTCGTCTGTAAGAACATTTTCTGAAGTAGCAGCCTGGAGCTGAGTTTGGATTTTGTATCACAACTTTTCCTCTTTAACAGGAACAAGAGTTTAAAAAATGCAGTAATATACTCCTAGTCAGCTGCAGGGAAGAAAAGACAAACATGTAGAAGCAGAAAAATGTTTTCCCTAGGCAGAGAGCCACTTAAATATGCTTTCTTTACAAAGAGGTCAGATATACATCTCAGTGGTTTTCTTGCTTCCTTGGTGGGGTGCAAAGAGCTGAAGGGGATACTAATGAATGGTTACAGGTGAGCATGATTTCAAGCCACCAGAGAAGGACTGTATATCTGTTTTCTGCCCATGCAAATATTTTTTTGTGTGTGTTCTGGAGGTGACTATTGCTGATTACTCAGCACAGTATAGTTAGGATTAATATGCCAAAGCATAAAACTTGAGTTCCGTGTTTGTACTCCTGATGACTGTAAAACTGCATTGTTGGGGTATTCCTGCCAGAAGGAGATTTTTATCAGAGGCACACCAGAGCTCCCAGCACAACTATATTTAATCCAAAGGATTGTTTCAAAAACTGGAATTTCTCCTTCTTTCAGAGTCTTTTCTATCTGTATATATTCTATGCACAGATAGCATCCACAGGATATATTCATTCTAAAGTAAAATGGAAAGTCAGTGGTGCTTTTCATCAGCCAGACCTTGAAAGCAGATGAATTGTTCATGGCTCTTAATAGTGCAGGGTGGATGTCAGGAGACAGCAGAATTAGTCAGCCTCTTTGTGGAACTGATAAATGAACATTTTTGGATGAGGTCCTGTGGAAGCAGGTTGAGGGATAATGAATGTGTATGTATTCATAAATATGCACATCTGCTTAGCAGAACGTTTGAGAAATGTGCCCAAGAGAGTCAGGAGGGAGCTGTTGTGGTGGATTTCCTGATTCTCCTTTGGGTTGTTACTGTGGAGTGGTCCTGCAGCACATGAACAGAGTTCAGATGAAACTGCTGGAGGATGCACCCATAACACATCAAGTGTCCGTGAGCATTCAGTCTGGGGGACCTAGCTAAAGCTACCCCCCAATATTTACAGTGTGGACACTGGATGCTTATCACACACTCCCGCTCTTCAAATCCTTTCCTTTCACATTGTGTTATTTTCTAGTGTAGGTGTGTCCTTAAATATGTGAAATTCCTACATTTCATGTGAATAGGCATTAAGAAAGATGGAGAGCCCTACCTGAGGAAAATCCTATGGGACACATTAGCCTCTTTACACAGGTGATTCCTTTTAAATGATCCAAACATGGGAAAACTTTTGTTAAGATCCTGTTCTTTTCAGAGAATGAAGTCAACAACCCACATGACATAATCAACATTGGTTGTTAAACAAATGAAGTTTCTCTCTGTTTACCAAGTCAAAAGCTTGCCAAAAAGCAAATAGGCAGTGAAACCGAAACAGTGTGTTCTTACAACAAGCTTGAATGATTAATCTTCTCTAGGGTTGTTTTTAAAGATGTGTGGGGAGATATACTAGAAATCTTTTGACTAAAAAACAACCCAGTCATAAGAGCTCCATGACCTGTGTTACTTCATCAACTTGGGATGCACTAGCAGAGCTTTCCAAGAAAATTTTGTACAAGTTTGAAGAAGTGATAGAAAATGGTAAGGCATACATGGTAGTGCTTAGAAGCTTAACCCTGAGTCCTCAGCTGCTATTGAAAGGATATTTTGTTAGATGCTTGTTAAGGATTTGTTTCATAGGAGCTGGTTGTCCCCCTGCCCATACCAGGCAAAACATCTCTCAACTTCCCCAGAGTCTTTCCACAGACTTCTGTTGACATCAGTAACAAATGAATCAGCGGCACACAAGCTGTATCTGTATAGCCATCAGCAGGGTTAACTGCTCCTGAGCTGTCTTTGGATCAGGTACCAAAACATTAAACTAAAGCATAAAATGACATGAGAGAAATTGAGATAAAAAGGGAAGGAGGGGTGGGAATCATACAGTGTGTGCATGCAGAGGGTCTACAGAGATTATATTGTGTTTGTACACAAAAGAGGGCTCATGGAGATGGCCTTTCTGTAAAAGGTTTGCTGTGCAGGTCTCTGGCTTTCTGTGAGTCAGTTGTGTCAGACTTATGTCAGCATGAGGCTGATCCTCAGTGCCTGGGTCTGTCAGAGTCTGCTGTTCATGAGGCTGAGAAATCATAAGAAAGAATGCAATTAAATTATATTGTTAAAACTCCTAGAGTAAGAGGCAGGCACTCTGTCAGAACTGCAGCATAGTGGGGAAAAAATCTTCACTGAAAGGGTGGTCAGGCATTGGAACAAGCTGCCCAGGGAACAGTTCAAACATGTGTTAAATGTGGCACTTGGGGACATGGTTTAGCGATGAACATGGCTCAGAAGATCTGGCCACCTCCTTGTGTAATCATAACACCCCACTTACCTGTCAACAGCTATAGCCAGGAGAGCATTGGTAGACACATAGAGGGAGACAGTGCGCAGGTAGTTGACCGAGGCACAGAGGACGTGGCCGTGCTCCCAGGACAGCTGCCGCACCACGTAGTAGTCCATCTCGAAGGGGCAGCACACGATGGCCACGATGAAGTCTGAGATAGCCAGATTGGCAATCAGCAGGTTGGTGAGGTTTCGCAGCTTCTTGTAGCGTGTGAGAGCAGCAATGAAAATGAAGTTGCCGATGCCACAGACCAGCATGATGCCAACCAGAGCCACCCCAATCACAATCTTGGCTGCAAAGAAGGTGCGAGTTTTGGTCATGTCATCTTCACTGTCCAGCGGCAGGTCGTAATCGCTGTAACTGAAATTGAAAGGGAAGGAGAAGTTTCGCAAGGAGGTGAAATCCCCATCGTGGAGATTGTAGATTGCAGCAAAGTTGAGGTGGGCAGTAGCATTTGGGTGATGTTCAGCTTGCTCAGTGGCCATGTCTGTCTTCTTGTGACACGTGTGGCTTGGCTGGCCCTCGGTGTCGTGTTGGAATTACCTAGTGTGGCAGGGGACAGTTCTCATCCAAATTCTCCTTCTGAGCAGTGAGTCACCTTGCCTTTGCTCCCAGAAGATTATAGAGCAACAGCCTCATTTATCTCCTTCTGTGGGAACAAAAAGAGCAAAACGTTTCCTGAAAGGAAATGACAGCAAAAGTACTGAGCTTGAGGGAAAGCAATAGCCACCTTATTGCCCCACAGCTACATTGCTGGCTGTGCACAGTGGGAAGAAACACCCTCTGAAGGGATGCTCTGTTCTCATAACGTAAGGGCCTTGAGTTGCATCATATACTGGGTGTTACAGCAGCAGTTTTATTTACCATCAATGAAATTTTCAGCACGGAGTGAAATAATAATGTAGGAGGAGTATAAAATCCAGTTTAAATCTCCAGCAGCCTTCACGCCCACAGTGCTGTCACCGCTATGCAAGGTAAAGGAAACTAAAATGACACCACAATGTGCTGTAAGGCATCTGATGTGCCTTTTGGGCAAAGTTTGTGCATTATTCTAGATCTCTCAGAGTGATGTGGTAGGTGAGAATGAAAAAAGAACTGGTGTTCTGGCTTATAAATACATTTCTTAATTAAGTAAGGGTTGTGAAGACCCATGAAAATAGTGAAGTCAGCACTTTTCCTTTTGGCAGCCGTTAATTGAGTACAGGGACTGAATTTTCAGCCAGCATAATACATTATCGCTTCTCTCAAACAGAATTTGTCCCATGACCCAGCTCGTAGGGTGTTGCTGTAAAGACAAATCTGCTCTTCGCAGACAGGCTCCTGAGCTGAAAGGGAAAATCTTCCTTAAGCAATGCCTTGAATGTTTGATGATGAGGGGGAGCAGGCTCCCCTCTTTGTACTGCTGGTGGTACCAAATATTAAAAATGTATTTCTTTTTTCACACTGAGGAAAAAAAAAGTCTCATCTACTCCCTAATTTTGCCTCTCTGTATCAAAATGCTGAGAGGGTTTGTTCCTGCATCTTCCCATGCCCCATCTAGGAATCCCCACACCAGACTCACTGCTGTCAGGATGGTCCCACCCCATCCCAGCAGAGGATCAGGGAAGGGAAGCACTGATGCTTTTTGTGCCCTCAGGCAGTAGGTCTTCAGGGCGTCAAATGCTGTTGAACAATAGCAGTCATGGCTACAAAGGAGAGTCTGTGTAGTGTGGCTGTTACTCCCTTCTTTTCTCTGGAGCCACCCCCAGCCCCTGATGTAGCGACACTTAACAGATTTCTGAGAGAAACTCTTTTACAACTTTGGTCTCCACATTGCTTTTCAAACTGAGTTGCAGAAAAACAGAATAGCAGAAAGCCAAAGCCTGAAACGAAATAACAGTTCCAACAAGGGACTGCTTTACAAATCATCCCCACTGGCTGGAAATGTGAACATTCATTGAAGAGAACTACTAAATAAACACTTGGATTCAAGATCTGTCTGTTGGTCAAAGCAATGAGCAGCATCTATTCCAGACAGGTTTCATTGCAAAATACCGAGAAAGCTGTAAAACAAATACAGACAACACAACCATCCACAAACTGACATAACACTATCAGCAAAGTCTACCTGCAGTTGTTGTCATCTTCTTGGAGGTCTCGGTCACCCCAGGGATTGCCCCCAGGTTTCTCCCCTGCAGATGTGCTGCTGTGCCTGGAGCAGGGAAAGGCTCACTGGAAGCAGCCCGAGGACTCTGCTGAGTGCTCATTTCTCTCCCGGGCAGGTTTGCCCTGCTGCTCAGGGGAGGATGGCTCTGCTGCCTCTGCCTGCATCTAAAGCCTTTGCTCAGTGGGAGGCACCTTGAAGCTGTCCGTGCATTTCTGATTTTAAAGAGGCAGTGCCATCCAGAGACAATAGAGCTTAGCCCCTTTGGGGTTTCTCTGCCTGAAACCCCCTGAACACATGGAATTGGCAGAGCGGCTTTGTTCCCAAGCCTGAGCATGGAAGGTGTAAACCTCGGTGTGCACCTGCTCTTTGGGTTTTGCCTGTGCTGGGCAGCAGCTGCCTACACCTGATGTGACACAGAGGCAAAATAAAAACCTCCCAGAGGAGGGGAGGAAGAGGAAGGAGGGTGAACTGCTTTCCCAGGGGCCTTTCTTTGTGGATCTGTCTCCGGCTATTGTCCTTAGGACTGCAGCTGCAGTAGCTCCTGCAGGAGGGTCAAATGGTGAACGGCTGTAAATCAGAGGACCCCTGACAGCTTTTCTTGCTCTCTCAGGGAATTACTCAGGGCAGAAAAGCAGCAATGAATCCTTAAGGACATAGTGTCCTTTGCTAATGCTGCCTCCTCACTGCTCCGAAGCACTCACACCCGAGGGAGCAGTTCTCTTACTTTCCAGTTCTCCAGAAGGAAATGAAATGCATGGCAGATCCTCTGTCCTCTTCTTTACCCTCAGACTTACTCACATTAACTGACATGTTTCAAGATGCATTGTTGGTACATGTTACACAGTTCCCAGCAGATGAGACCATAGGAGGCTGTAGAAGGTCATGAAGAGTCTAGGAGCTTTGCAGAAAACTTGATCTATGTGTCCCCTGATGCACACTCACAAGGCTGTGCTCTCCTGAGCTAGTAGTGAGCACTTTGTTCTCACAAACAAAGTGAGGAAAGGAAAAAATGTGCTCATGTAAAATGTATCTGGGGTTAAAGAACCACTACTGTGGCATCTCTTCCAGAAAACCTGAGGAAGGCCAGAGAGTCTCCAATGTCTAAAGCCAGCCGACAGTGTTAAGAATTTCGCAGCAAATACTGTGCTCAACTTTGTTTTTAACAGTCGATGTAATAGGTGAAAAGCCATTAAGGGACTTTTAATATCCTGAAAGAGTGCAACCAGTGAACAATGAGGAAATCAGATCCAGCCCACTGTCTGAATTCTGTCACAGAAGAAGTAAATATAGTGAGTATGGGGAGAGGCAAAGTGAACTTATGGTGTACATCAGAACCACATGTAAAAGATCCCTAAAATGGACCACATAAACCTTAAATGTCCCTGAAGTAAAGCTGGTACACTAAAGGGAACTTTAAAATTGGAACAGTCATTATCTCTTTAAGACTTTGTTCAGCTGTCTTACATGAAGTTATCCAGTGAGTTAATCAAGCAACACGATATCCAAATATTTATACTCCTTTAGGCCAAAAGCTCAGCTGCTGCAGAACTCGCTTCCCATTGACTCAAGGCAAGTTGGCATCAGAGCCCTGATAACTGCAGCCCCTCTACATATGCACTATGTGCTCAGTATGGAGTTTCTGTACAGCACTTGTTTCTCTCCTGTGCTCCGAAGAATTGTTCCGTATGTGTCAAGCTGTTTCTCAGGAAACACCAGTAGTATTGTGAAACAGTGTGGTTTGCATGTGCAGTGCAAGGCAGTGCTTTGTAGTTATTGACTGGGAGTTGCTGAATAGAGAATGAAAGCAGCAGTGCTGGGAACTGCCCTTACAGCCACTTGGGCAGAGCAAAACCTCAAAGGTGGGTCTAGAGCCTCAGTAAATGACCTAGCACCCTGCCCTGATGCAACAAGGGCTGGTGTGGTAGTGGAGGGGCTCTAAAGCTGTGTGGTATATGCAGCAGGTGTATGCACATGATTCTGGTATAGGATTTCTGCATAGGATAAGGTTTCTCCTTGGTAACATTTATTGGTGATTCCCTGATGGTGTCACAACATTTAGCACAGCATCATGACACATTTCCCAAGACCAGTGTTTCCAGTGTGGCAAATTCAGGCTGAGAAAGAAAAGTTGGTACTGAAAACAACCGTGTAAACAATTTACATTCCTGTTTGCTAGTTTTTCCCATTAGTGTGCTCACAGTTTGAACAGGGAAGTTATTTGGAGGCTAAATGATGCAAAACCAATTGCAGTGTAAAGGACTTGTTTGGAGACTTTCAAATCATGAATTACTAAACTCAGCATTTAGTCTGGGAACAGACCTAAGGACTCTGGCCTTTCATTTATAACCAGCAAACTCACCAATTATTGTCCAGTTTTTCCTAATTACTAAATAAATTTGACTCTGAGCAAGGCAATTAATCCTAGGGAGTTTACCTAAGCTTTGCACAAAGTGTAGCCAGGGTTTTACAAAGGTTGCTAATAGATATCAGTTAGTGAAATGGGACAAAGCATCAGACCTTGTGTGATTTTCTGGGAAAACGAACAAAAGGTACCAGCACACATGGGTTACAATCGTGTATTTCTGCCCACCAGACATTCAGCTCAGGGGCTTTACTCAATCTGAGAGTGTGTAACTGATGTTAATGTTCAACAGAACAGTAGGCTTGCTGGCAGAAAGAGTGAGGTATATTTTTTAATACACAGAAACATGCCTTGTGGTCCAAAAAGAAAGTGACTTTTGGTTAAAATTTGGCCAAAATATGCACACAGCCGTTCTAATAGTGCCTTGGGATGTGAAAAAAAGAAGTGTTTGACTTCATTAATAGATTATATCAACATGTTACTCTCCTCTTAGCATCTCCTTCTGTTTCCTTACTGAGTGTATCACTTGGTGGCTTGGGAAAAGGGACAAAGCATCTGAAGGAGCATCACAGCAGGCTGTCAGCAGCCACAATGACACTCTGCCAAGGTGCTTGTCAGCACTGTTGGAATAGCAGACATGGCACTTTCATCCAAAGGTCTTTTCAGAGCTGCACAGGTTTCTGTGGACAGGGGCATTCAGGTGGCTCTCACAGCTGAATGACACAAGGTTTAGCTGATCTGCTCAGAGCTCATGTACAAGATAACCCAGGGGCAAACAGCAACTCTTTTCCAAGTAGATGCTGTTTTCTTTTTACTCATCTGTTTTTTTTAAAATTTTTATTTCTCTGACAATGCCTATTTCCTGTTTTCTTCATCTTTGTTCATCCTTTTGTGATTGTGTAAGAAAATGGTGTTTATTTTGCTCAGTTCAGCCTAGCACGGCAACCCTCTGTGAGAAGCACCCTCATGCCTTCAACAACAGCCTGTGAAATACATAGAAATAGCTCTAAGAAGCTGATGTTCCTGAATAGTACTTGCCACCCTCACTAGAGAACAAAAAGGAACAGTATTTGGGGTAGGATAGGCAGCAAGGACCAGCCCAGAGATTGTGCATGAGTTTTGGTGCCACAATATATGACAT